ATAACAAAATCAAAATAAAGAAGTATGTATATTAAAAAGAAATTGGAATAGTTGTTGCCAAAAGACAAGGAAACTAAAGACTCTTAAATCTAGACTAGAAGCAAGAAAAGAATTGATAAGAGTGAAGAAGACTTTACTCTTGCCTCTATATATACTATCTAAGTAAGAGCTACATGGCAATGTTCTATAGGACCTCTAATATGTATTGACTTTATAGGACACATGCCTTAGCTTATAAGGCAAGTTTTCTATGTGAGTGCCACATAGTAAGCTTATTCTTCAAGCTACCAATATGTGTAGTACATGGCTAACTTGTTGACCACGTTTCTAATCTAAAAAGTCTATTATAGACACATATGAAGTCAAAGCAATGTCTATAAAGCTTTTAGGAAGCTTTTATAAAAGATATTATGGAATTAATCTACTTTTATCTAATCATATAGATAATTATTGGTTTACATGTGTATGTCCATGACACCACCTTTGAATGTTATTACAAAATTTCTAAGACTTTGCTTTCAACTACCACATTGCCTTTAGAAAGAACTAGACCATTGACTATTATATATATATATATATATATATATATCATATTTATTTAAATATATTTTATTTAAATTATTTTGATTATACATATAAAATTTTTATATAATTTTAAAATATATTTTAATATTTAATTCATACATCCTACTTAAATTGATTAAAATTGTAATAAAGATACACTCAAATAGTATTGGAAAAAATTTGAGTTATGTACTAATATAAAATACTCAAGGTTCTTGTAATCATTCTAAGCTATAATTTTATCAAATGTACTTTTCAAGTAATGACACTATTTTAAAAATAAATATATAATAGCAAGAAGGTCTTTATTATAGATCTCATAATTAATTTTAATAATGAAGATTTTTTAAAAAATAAAAATTAATAATATGAAGTCTATTATTTACATCTATTTATGATAGAACTAAATTAAATATAATTTTTTTATGTATTTATGTATTTATTTATCTATTTTTTATATACTATATTATATTCTTATCTTAGATATATTTTAATAATGATCTTTGTCTCATTTACTTTTTAAAAAACCTTGATATTAAAGGTAAAGAATGAAATTTCTAAATGGCCAACTTGTTGAATCTACAATAATTTATAAATATTTAGATTACTATAATAGTTTTTCTTTTGGTATTTTTTATAATAGATCTTTGATATATATATTTTTAAAAATATTAAAATTTATTTATAATATTTTTTTTATCTTAATCTTTTAACTTATAAATTTTACCTGAGTGATACTATCAAGGTGTTAATCTTTGGCTCGTTTATACTTGTAGTGGTAATATCTTTAGCATTCACTTATGAATTTGATTTGTTCTTATTTACTTCTTTTGATTGCACAACTCCTTGGCACTTGTCTTTACATACATATGCATCAATTGAAGCTCTAGATATTTCTTCTTTATTGAGATAGTTTTAAAGGTCTATGGCATTGCATCATGTGAGCATAGCAATTAATGAGTAGATGCATTATAAATTGCTTGGTTTTTGTTTTTTTGCATATACGTATTCACAAATTAATTGTTATTATGTTTTATTTCATAAGAAAAAATGGTAAGACCATTATTGCAAGAAAAACAACAAAATATGCTTTCTTTGCTTTAGAATGGCTGTAGTATCAGAGAAATAGCAAATTCTTTGCATGTTGGTTAGTCAAGTGCATAAAAGCTTTATAAGAAGTATTTTCCAGATATAAATCTTTTAGTTGGAGATAGACCATACAAATTGAGAAGTCAAATGAAGTAGTCTTATATAAGTAGTATAACTAGAGAAAAAATGTCTACTACATGAAAAGCTATTCAACATGTGAAAGAACTATTTTGGAGTATAAGTCAATAAAGTTACTATATGCCATTGTTGTATTATGTGTATTCTTGCTTGAGAATGCACCAAGCACCTAGTTGTGGAAAGTAAGTAGAAATGTAACAACAATCCTACCAAGTCTAATAGAGTCTTAAATAAACTTTAAATAATCCTTAATAATCCTAATAAAACTTTAATCAATCCAAAATAAATTTAAAAGAAGTTACAAAAGAAACTTAAAGAAGTCATAAATTAATCTCAAAATAAAATTATAAAGAAATCTTAAAAAATATAAAAATAAAATATTAAAGAAATAATAATAACCTTAAAGAAATATTAAAAATAAAAAAATTTAAAAAAATAATAAAAAATCCTTTTCAAAAGATTAAAAATAGAAACTCTAAAAAATCCTAAATAAATTCTAATCAAATCCTAATTTAATCCTAATTAAAACCTTAATAAATCTTAACCAAATCATAGAAAAAATCTTTATTAAATCCTAATTGAAATCCTAATAGAAATTTCAATTGAAATCTTAATGAATCTTAATCAAATTCTAAATCAAATCCTAATTAAATCCTAATTGAAATCCTAATTTAAATCCCAATTGAAATTTTAATGACCTTTAACCAAATTCTAAATAAAATATTAATTAAATCTTAAATCAAATCCTAGTGAAATTCTAATAAAATCTTAATAAAATCCTAAATTATAACCAAATCCTAATCAAACCTTAAATCCTAATGAAATCCAAAATTTTATTTTAATCCTAATAAAATCTTAGAAAAATCCTAAATCCTAAGTTAACCCTAAATCCTAAACTAGCCTTAATCAAATTCTAAACAATTCTAAGAAAATCCCAAGTAAATCTTAATCAATTACTATAGCTATTTGAAACTTCAATAAATATTAATTGAACCAAAGAGCTTGACTAAAATCTCACCCAAACTTCAAAAAACAAGCAATTAAAAATCATACAAAATTTGAAAAGAATCAAACTTAATAATTGTAAGAAAAGCCTCCAAAACCTCTTGGTTGTTGGCCACTCTCCTTCTCTAATTTGAATGTTGATCTTTGAACAAAGATTTTTCCTTTCTAAATTTTTCAATTGATCAAAAAATTGCATTGTGTGTAGCTATTCAAGTCTAAATTGTTCTCACTAATTTTTACTTCAATCCAATAGGCAAATATTTTTAGATCACAAAATCCCTCACTAACCCTAAATTTTATTTATCTAAGACTATAACCTACAAAAACTCTTACATCCTTCAATCCAACCTCTTGATTGATCTCAAATTTCTCACACATATAAATCAAGCACAATGACAAATTTCCAAATTTTTATCTATAAATATGCTACAAAATTAACAAATTTCTCAAATTTGTAAACATATTTTTATTTTTTAAAATCTAAATCCACCTAGTACATTATTAACTTTGAAAATCCCTCAAAACCTCAATATTAATCCAAATGACATGAAACCAACTCTCAAAAATCTCTTCACAAGTCTGCTTCCTAATTCCACTCTCTTATTGACAAAAAAGCCCTAAAGTCACCGTAGGTGCGCAATTTAGTGCCTCAGGGTCTGATTTCGACCCAAGTTCACAAATGGTCCTCTCCAGATATCAATTTTTCATAATTTGAGGTAATTTTCACTTAAACATATTATTAAATTTCTCCTAAAGATACTTATATTATTTAATTTTCTTATTTATTTTTATTTGAGGCATTTTTGCTCCTACATAGTAAATAGAAGTCCCATCTACATGAAGCATCATTAAGACAAATATTATTACTACCTTCCCATTATTTATTCCTTTTTTTCTACTACATCTTTCTATTAGGTACTTCTATAATAAAATCCATATTTTTATTTTTCACCATATAGTCATCTTACCACATGACACCATGCGCTTTATAGAGCAAGTTTGCAGTTACATGTGAAAGAGAAAAAATATTTTTCAAGTAAAAATATTAGATCTTGCTTAATATTTGCTAGGAAGTATGAATATTGGACTATTGATGATTGGAGTCATGTGATATTTATAGATGGGACTAAGATTAATGAATTTTCTTCACATGGAAGAGTTTGATATTGGATTTATAATCCACAAGAATTATTAGAGCAAATTATTATTCAAACTATTAAGCATGGTGGTGGTTTTGTAATGATATGGAGATGTATGTCTATGTATGATATACATAGACCTTGCATGATGCACAAAATTAAAGGTCACCTCAATCAACATGGTTATCAAAAAATCTTGAAGGAACAATTAATAAATATGATTTAGATGCATCAAAAGTCATAGTTTAATGCACTTATATATAACAATAATAGCACAAAACAATGGTTTTTTAGGCAACATTTTAGTTTCTTATCTTTGCCTTTGCAATCACTAGATTTGAATCCTATAGAAAATCTTTGGCCATTTTGAAAAGGAGATTAAATTGATATCATACACCTCTAAAAGGAATACTTGAATTATAGTCTCATGTAGAAGAAACCTTCACTTTTATCACTATTGATGATTGCAAGAGACTCATAGAAACAATGTTTCGACAAATAGCAACTATATGGAAAGCCAAAGGAAAATAAACAAAGTCATGACAAATTTCCATGCTGGACCTTAAAATTGCCTCAATATATAATGTAGCTGTAGGATTTTTTTTCTTTTCACTTAGTGCTTAGCTTGGATTCTGTTGGGATTTTTGTAAGAAACTATTACATTGAATGTATTATTTCAATAAATTTACAACTCTCCATTCCATGAATTTCTCTACATTATTTTTTGAATGTGATAAGAACAAACATTTGGACAGTTTTGAAGGTCACTGTAAATGAGTAGCTTGCTTATAGCCATTGCTTTTCCTGAAGACTGGAAATTACATAAAATTTGAGGAAAATTTAGAAACGGGATCCACTCTTCTGAATTGTATTGCTGGACAAAAGTTAAGAATTGCAAATTGGCACATTTGAGAATGGCTGACAGAGCTGTTTAGCCTCGTTGGAACAAACTTCCTCTTCATCCAACATACATTTCTAATTGATGCAAACATTGGAACTCTCAAAAATTCAAGTTTTTTCGGTAATGTATCGATGCAATGCAACAAATCTGACAATAATGTTAGCTCTCTGCAATGGTGGATAGGAATACATCACTTCAGATGGTACATAGAGAATAGTTGGGATAATGTTGCACCAGTAACTCTTGTTGAACACTATGGATATGCATGAGAACACTAGAGCTTACATAACAGGGAAAGACCATACAAATACAAAAAGACGAGAAACAAGAAATAACAGCAATCAGTCAGGAGTTGCCATCATGCTAACAAATCTCCCACAATTCTGTACAGAATGTGGAAAAGAAGCTGGATCAACCATGGCTGCTGTTGACTCATTCAAACTACGCTAAATCATCTAAAAGCATTTTGCAAACTCATTCTCTCTATGTCCCTTCTGAACGGTGACACTGAAACCTGATGTGTCTCAGGTATCGCGGGGGCTGTGGTCGTCCTCACCATGCTCGACGGACACGAGCTGTAAAACTTGATGTTCAGTATTTCAGTAGGTTCTGGAACCAGCACCGACGAGCCCGCCAGTGAAATGTCCTAAACAGTGTATGACTGTTGTATCATGTTAACGTCGAGATTTTTCATGCGAACAACTGATTCCACGTGGCCCTTCAATGTGTTCAATTCCCTCAACCTACAAAATGTTTACAAAACGTCAAACCAGGAGTGGGCACAATCCCATGAAGATCGAAACCTCCACCTAGCGTAAAATGCAATGGATGGAAGTAACATATCTTCGATCTGCTAATAATTTTTGAATCGATTCAAAGTTGAGACGATCTCATAGAAAATCTTTTCAGTATGAAGAGTAGCCCTTTTCAAATATGTTAATGGATTTCATACCTTGCAATCTCAGCCCTCCTTTTAGCCTGCTCAGCCATTACGTTAAGCTCACGATTCGGAGTGCTTCCAGGTTGAGGACTACCGGATTCGGCAGGGTGGAGTCCATGCAATGTGCGCTGAGCATGGGCCCATTGAGCTTCACGCGCCTCTTTCCCAAAATCCTTCTGTCTAGTGAAGGCGGTCTGAATCATAGATTGACAACCCAAACAATAAGCATCTCACTAATCCGGTCCAAATGTAATTTAAGTTTTTAAGTTACTACCGAGGATCAATTTTTCATTTTAATCTTAAAGATGTTATTCTCTTTTTATCTAGAAGTGCGAACACAAACCTTTCGCTCAAGCAGAAGATCCCACGCTCTTCCGCTTTGAATGTATCGAACAGCGAATTTAATGATGTCGAGAGGGACATAGGTAACCAGACTGTAGAGCCATATAACACCAGCCCAACGCCATCCAATGCCTCTAATGGTAGCAAATCCCCAATTAGCATAAACTGCTATAATTGTAGCGATCTGAGGGAGTGCAAACGACGAAGTTAGAATCAACTTCCAATTCAATAAATTAGTCAAGTGTCGTATCCTGTTTAATGGAAACTACTTTGAGGTAGAAGTGAATCATATGTATCCCGTACTTGACCATCCAAATCAACTACATCAAAATCTTCAATGGCAACACTAGTATTTATAAAACATTTCATAATCATGGTTAAAGTTAAAGAATAAGATCGGTAGGTGTTTTTTGCAAGAAATGAACTCAGACTTACCAACTGGGCAACAATAAAAGCAAAAAGCAGGAAAAATCCTGGTCGCTCCAAGAAGGACCAGCTTCGGGAACGCGTTACGAAAATTAAAGCTTGACTGATTATACTAACTTGCAGGTAAACAGCTGCTGTCATTCGACTGTGACTCCATCCGATATCCGACACCCCAAAGCGATCCTACGTGGGTTCACTCATACAAATTCATGATCAGTGCAATGGTCTCATTGCCTCATAGAAGCCAACATATAGCGGTAGCAAATCTGACACAGTCCAAAAGATATGTTAACTACAAAGCGCCACATAGAGTATGTTGAGAACTTTACCGGGAAAAAAGTAGTCTTATGCATAAGCCAAAAAAATAGAACTGTCATCAGTGCCATGTATGTACCCAACACAATTCCAATGGAAAAGATTTCTTTCAACCTCCAGCTGTCAGGCTGTGGAGATGGTTTGACGCGATCCTTTGCGATAGTCATTATGGTACCTACATCATCCGCAAAGTCCAACGTTCTTTAAACACAAGGACTGTTAAATGTGAAGAAATTTCTTGAGTATGGAGAAAACATATTCAATACAGAAATCTTCATGTATCCGCAATGTTGTACGAGAATACAGGCGGAACAATGAAACAATAATCAATTTACTAAGCCACTAATTGAATATTCTCGACGAAATACAAAGACTACAATTTGGATCTGTATTTCTCGTAACCAAAAATGACATCCTATAAACAACGATGATTTTGGAATTAATGCCTCAAAAGGAATGACAGTGGTCACTTACCATCGTTGAGGATAGCTATGATCAAAACCATAAAAGGTGAGAAGTCGAACTTCCAAATCAAGGCGAGCAGGAGAAACCCCAGCTGCAAAACAACATACTTTCAATCAACATATACTTGTCTACTGCTCATAATGCAGGCCGCGAGCAACCACAGGGGACCTTTGCTGGCAAGGACGCAATTAATAAACTTATTAATCTTCTTTAAAGAATTAAAAAAAGGGAAAAAGAAAAAGAAAATAACAGTAATGCAAGGCAGTCAAACTTGATTGGTAGTAACACAATCTTGCAAAGGCATCCAGCAACTAAGCGTTTACAGCGTAAAACATAATGTGACTTCAACAATTCAAACGTCACAAGTCGGACAGCACGATGGCGTACCACTATACGAATGGTGATAGAAACTGCATAAATCTGCAAACCAGAGCCACCTGTAGATTAATTTTCAATTGAATCTTGGAGTTAAATTACCTAAATAATAATTTTAAGTTAATACGCTGAAACAAGGAGAGGCTATCAACTGGCTTTTCAGGAATTAAAAATACTCCAATATTCAAGACCATATGCAATTACTCATGTAAAATCTACAAACAGTCCTTTCTGCGGACAAAATTGACGTTCGAAAATTTACCGTGTAATTTTTCATCCGCTGAAAAATAGATCTACTGGTTAGTACTGCACTTATGATGACACTTAAACCAGGCTCCGTAAGAACAATGTCCGAAGCGCTTCTAGCAGCATCGGTGGCATCAGCAACTGCAATACCGATATCGGCCTTTTTCAAAGCAGGAGCATCATTTACACCATCACCAGTCATACCAACAATATGTTTTTTTTCCTGTAACCTCTTAACAATTTCATACTTGTGTTCTGCATCATACAACAGAACAACAATATGGTAAGAAATAGCAGCACTAGAAAAAAGAATTGTTAGGAGCATAGAACTGTGCTAAGAAAAAAAATTCATACAAATGATGTTGGTCTATGTTTAGTTTTGAACAAATACTGAATCAATGAAGCTCACCTGGAAAGACACCAGCAAAGCCGTCCGCCTTCTCAATGAGCTCATCTACGGGTAACGCAGCAATACTCTCGTCCTTATGTGCTCCCAACAAAGAAGATGAGGGATACATGTTTGTTCCCATACCCAGCCGCCGGCCTGTCTCCTTGCCAATGGCTAACTGATCACCTGTACATTCATTTAAAATCCAAGTAAGCTAAAATTACAATCCCAAAAAGAATAAAAATTTCGTAAAAATAGGTAGTTGACCTTAGAGTTCGTCTTCACATTCTTTAACAGCTATTCACATTAGGAAAGTGTTAACGACACCTGTGATCATCTTAACGCTAACTCCAAGATTGAGAGCCCGACGGATTGTTTCAGCACTGTCGTGTCGAGGCGGGTCGAATAGCGGCATCAACCCAAGAAACTCCCAAGGTCCACCAAGACTGTCTTTGCTTTGTTCTGGAACGTCCTGTTTTACAACTTGATATGTCTTAGCTCAAAAAAAATTGTCAATAACATGCGAATAACATGAATTATAGATAGTTAGATTTCGTGGAGGTAGGAACTAAATCGAGCTACCAAAAAAATGGTTTACTGTGAAAACACTTGCCTGTCTGGCAACTGCCAGTGACCGCAGCCCCCGCTCAGCAAACTTGTCAATGATTGCATGCACGCGCGTAGCTATCTCCGATTTATTGTGAGCTAACTGTAGAATTTGCTCCGGGGCTCCTTTGCTGGCTCGATGCCACTTGCCATCAGTGTTATCGATGTACGTAATTGCTGTACGCTTATCAACTGGATTGAATGGAAGGAAGTGAATCTCTTGAATATTCGCACGAGCCTGTGATACACATGAAATATGAAGGTGTCGTCATCACATGATTCTGACGACTACATTTGTTATAGAATCGAGATTGATGGACATCAAGAAGTGCAAAAATGAACAACAAACATTTGGTTCCCACCTCTTTGGGATCAGCTAGAATTCCAACTATGGCTGCATCAATAGCATCTTGGTTTTCCACTCTTGAAGCCCTAGCTGCCAGCAAGCACACTGTCTCTTTGTCCACATTTCTGTTAAAGACCTACACAGAAGGCGGATGGAATGAATTAGAACAAAATTCAAGCAAGAGATACATATATGATCAAGACCAGATCCAGCAATCATGTTCGAACTGTTTGTCCACTGAGGTATATAATGTTAAATTCCCTACTATGAAACTTCTTATGATACGACTGTGGTCTCATAACTTGTGCAAATTCTTTTAGCCAGGTACAAGCAAGAATAGGGCACAAGGTCATAGGGATATTTCACAAGAAAATAGAACAATTCCACAAATAAATTGCTCACAATATTTATAGAATTTCAATCCATCAACAGCAATCGACAAATTGAATCCACAATACAAAGGGATGCTTCAAGTACAAGTAAAATAAGTTTCTGAGCTTTACCTCCACCAAGCTTTTGTCAACTGTCAACTTGTTCAAAGTTAGAGTTCCTGTTTTGTCACTGCAGAGAACATCCATTCCTGCCATCTCCTCAATAGCAGTCATGCGCTTGGTAATGGCTCCCTGCACACATGTGTAACTCAAATGTTGATAAGAATCCCCTTTCGTCTTAATACCAAGAAATTTAATTTCTACTCCTATTGCTTATCTTTTTATATAATCAGCAATATGTAGTGAAAATGACTCGAAATTTCAGATTTTTTTTCTCTCCCAAATTAGACAAGGGGCACCGTAATGAACAATAATTGCCTGGACGATACTAAGAAATTGGTAAGGTCGTTTACTCAGAAGAGGTAATCAACCGAGAAATTGTTGGCAATTGAGTAGGCACACAATGATTAGTGAGTTCTACTCCCTTAATGCAAACCTGTTTCGAAAGTCGGTGAGAGCCAATAGCCATGGTAACAGAGAGGACGGTAGGCATAGCAATGGGGATTCCCCCAATGAGCAACACCAAGAGGTTGTTGATGCCAGCTCGATATTGCCGGTGCTGGATCGGGTACATTACAATAATTTCAATCACTATTCCGATTGCAATGCTGATTATACAAAAATTTCCAATAGCGGTCAACACCTGCAGTATGAGCAGTACCAAGGTTAAAAACTTTATAACATATCAGTATCCAAAAATTGAATGAATTTTCCTATGATTATTAAAGAGCTAGAAATTCATGCCAAAAAGAAGAGACAAGCTTATACCATAAAGACAAGCAACGGAGTAGAACATATTCACCTTCTGAAAATGGCCAATATTGTTTGTGGAGTCAACAAGATGCGCGGCTTTACCAAAAAATGTGTGCACACCAGTTGCAATAACTACAGCCTCGATCTCACCCTGTTTGCAGGTAGATCCTGAGAAAACTTCATCCCCAGGTTTCTTGGTTGCAGGCATCGATTCCCCAGTTAGAGCTGACTGCAGATTCAACCATTCATACATGTTAATCATCTCTATTTCTTCACATCCTGTTTGTGAGTAAAGAACTACGAGATGCACATGAGGTGCTTGAGCTTAAGAAGTTCGTCTGTACTACACCAAATCACAGATTGTAGAAGCTTGTAAACTTTACAAATTGATGCATCCCGAGGAATGTGATGAGTCATATAAATGGGCATTTGATATGGTGTAACTAACGAGTAAACAGAAGAAACTCGTGCCTGATCAATTTTTAGCGGGTCTCCTTCAAGCAAACGAGCATCTGCAGGAATAATATCACCAAGCTTGATGCTAATGATGTCACCAGGCACCAGTATGGATGCATCCCGCTCAACCCAACTTCCGTTTCGCAAAACCTGAAGCTCTATGTTCGTGAGTTAAGAATAACATAAGTCGGACCAACTACTGCACAATCAAAATTCCAAAGACGACAATGATTTATTTATTTTGGCTTTTTGGCTTTTTGTTTGATTGTTTGTTTGTTTGTGTAATTTTATCCGAGAAACAACAGCAGTAATATTATGGGATGTAGGAGCAGTGGATTGGCATAGTAGGCATGTTCGCAATGAGAATAATCAAGGGAATACACCTTGGTCTTAGGTGCAAGCTGTGCCATCAGAGCGGCAGCAGCATTTCCAGCGTTGTTCTCCTCAATAAAACTAATTGTTGAATTGATCAACAGGAGCACAATGATTCCGAGGAAATCTTGCCAGTCGGGGGGCAGTCCCTATGAAACAGCATTACATGAGTCAAGAACAACATCAAAACAAGACATAGACAGAAAAGAACATTCACGTCATCAGCCTAAAAAGATGAGAAGCACATGGTAAATCTGTGAGTTATCTGATTGTCCAGTCTTACTTGTCCATTGGCGAGAACAATTGCCATGATGGCAGCAGCCTCCATCACCCAAGACAAGGGGTTCCACATGAACCCCAAGAACTTGAGGACTTTGCTCTCCTGTCAATGCGCACACAGAAACAAATCAACACATGATTCAAGAAGAAAAGAAAAAAAGATCCAAAAACGTTTTCGTTATTGAAATTTCTCATTAAAAAAAATAATCACAATGTAGGTTAAATAAAACATTTCTAACTGTTTTCATCGTAAATTTTTATTGTTGTAGTTATTTATAAGTGTGGCGGGTAAAGACAAAAGTTTTCACCTTGATGCAATGATCCCAAAAAATTCTTGATTTCAAGTAGAAAAGCATCAAAGTTAATTGCTCTAGGAAAATCTAGACGAAGGATCAAAAGTGGAAAACAAAGAAGTACCGATTTCTCCTCGAGCTTGTTTTGGCCAAATATTTTAAGCCGAGCCTCGCCATCCTCATCTGTGAGACCTTCCTTGGTACAACGCAATTGCTCAAAGACCTCCTCAACCGGTATGTTTTCCTGCATACAACAGCACAAGATTGCGAATCGTTGATCCTAAAAATTCCAGAGAAACAATGCATTTCAATTTTACAACAGCAAGTAAAGGCTGAAGCAGAATGCGTACGATAAAACGCACAGTTGTTTTAGAAATCCAAGGCACATTGGTGTAAGGCATTAAATTCAAAGCGCTTAATATTAGAAATGCAACCACATGACATCAATTTAATTGAAAAAGCCCCAGAACAGAAGGATGGCGTATTTGTTTTTTGTTCTCTATAAGTAGATCGGAACGTCTATAAAGTGAAGATAAAGCTCACCAAGTCAACAGTTTCGTTGTTCAATGCTTCAAGCCCAGATAAATCCGTTTTCTTGACATGATCGTCCGCCATGGTGGCAGTTTAAGACAACGAAAGCACCTTCGAGCACGAATGTCTTGCTCAAAATACAGTCAAACTCAAAATGGCATTCTCAAATTCTTGTCTCGCCATAGGGGCTCCGCCCAATCTTGCCTTTCGCAACTCTCTCTGCAGGGATACAAAGTCAATGGTCTCCTGCACCAGAAGATCAAGCACATGAGATGTACAGTGATGATCCTTCATCACAATTTTGCGTTTTGAAACAGGCTTCTAATGACAACCTAGCAAATGCTTAGGCTGTGGAAGGCCTGCGAGAAAAAAATCAATTGTGATGGAAACCGGAATGGTTAGATCTATGCACTCGAGACACCATACCGACGGGAATCACCAGGCTGAACCAGTTCTCTAGATCCTGCACGCATATTCAAAATTCCGTGTTCCAATAAAGAGCTTGAGAGCTTTACAACAATACTAGCATCTCATAAGAATTTTTCTCGCCGGTATAACCTTAACACTGAAATTTGTCGTCCCTTCCGATGTTGGTGTAGGCATCATCTTAAGCTATCCTAAAAGAGAGAATGATTCATTGCTATACGACTGAACCTCCGAACACATGTTTCACAGTGGTGCCAAGACACGTCATGAAAGGAACCGAGAAGCAGCGTAAAACTAAAAGAAAAACTATTTACTGTTGTCAGCTACTCTGAAACAGGAAATGAAAAAGCCTCTCTACAAATCCAGAAACTTCTATATTAAAGCTTTAGAAGACCAAAGTGATCCAAAACCTTCTAATCGTTTTTATTCATGAAATTTACACGCATAAACCCTAGCGTCTCCAGTATGTACACGTAACAATTCTAGCGGAATTGCGCCTGCTTCGGTGCTTCGCGACCATCTCCGCGGGCCAGTTTGATGCAGCAGATAGGTCGTGACTCAAAGCAATCCAATGGAACCGCCATGTACACAATATTTCAATACAATCTCCGCACTAGCACACTAAGTTTATGAAAACACATCGTCGTCACAAAGCCTGATCAAACCTTCTCGCTTAACAGATCAAAGCATAGAACAGTGACATGTATGAGGTGAAAATTTACTACACGGATTCTTTCTTGGCTTAAACGTTTCTGACAAGGAACAGCAACACGTTGTGCCTACAGACACAGCTACGTCATCTCCTCACCTTCCTAATACCACCAAAGACAACGCTAACAACGATTCGAGACGAAAAGTCCAAACATGTAACGAATTGGTCCACAGTACAATCAAAAACTAAATCTCTCAGCGTAGAAAAAATTCTAATCCTGCATCACAAATTCTTGAGAGGGAGTTGGTTAAGGAAACAAAAAAACAAAGTTTCTTCGTAATTATTATCCTGTAAAAATTAAATAAATGTTTTTTAATTAAACGACTCATTAACCAAAAAACAGCCAAAATTCACATAAGACACTACTTCAGGCACCAAACACCACTAATGCACTCTCAGAATATTACCCGACACAGTGCTCACGAAAAATTCCACACACCTCCACAACGACACACACACACGCACACGCACGCACAAAGCTCATCGCCATCACCACGGAGCAGGAGCGAAAAAAAACGGCCCTGAGCTGGACTACTCCATGATATGCACTCACCTACCAAGGCCCCCATGGAATTTGACCCCGACATTCAGACGCGGCGCGATTTCACCATCACCGTGTTGCACGGAAACTCCACAAAATTCCAGACTCCTATATCCTTCTGAATGTCTTTCTCTCTCCCGATCTCTCTCCCTGTCTCAATCCCTTTCTCAGATTTTCTACTTAGAAGAAGACGGGCGCATGTTAGGAACACGGAAATCGGCCGGGCCGTGGGGAGGAGGAAGAGGAGCCTGAGACGATTGAAGTGGACGGTCGATCGAAGCAGGCCGCCGCGAGCGCTGCTTCTATTGTGGCGTTGCAGTGGGGCTATCATCGACGTTCACGCTGCTTACTTGTCATGCAAAGGCACCGGATTCCCTCGCCCATGACTTTCTGGAGCCCCTCCCTCCGTTCTTCGTTACGGTGCTGGGTATATTGATTCTCCTGGATGGATGAATGTCAGGATGAATGCGTGAATGACTGTTGCGTACATGGATGGGTGATGTGGGTATATTAATGAGCTCATATGTGGATTAATGAGTGGATGGATGAGTAAAATTCTCGCTCTGAGGACATCACGCCTTTCCACGCAAGCGTCTCACTTGCCTGAAACAATTACGGATGGTTTCAGGATGAGTCTGAGTTTGTGAACGGGGGAGTTTTCTATCTCGTAGCTTACTTTAGAAAGGCCATGATTCAAAAGGGTCCCCCTTCTTGGTCTTGGTGAAGAAAAACCTCCTTTTAATTATTATCTTGGTTTTCGGAGATTGTATCAAATGCAAAGAGTTTGTGAATTGGGCTCAATCTTGTTGTTGTTATGAATTTTAATATGGTCGTTTATATCTTGTTTTTTACATTTTTGATAAAAATAAATACATAATCATGCAAATCCAAGTTTCTGTTTTTCTTTCCTTTCCTTTTTGAAAATGGTACTTCAAAGAATTTGCAACATTCCTTTTGAAATTCTTGTAAGGATTATAACTTGAAGATGGCCTCTTGCAAATTTCAAGGGGGTGACGCTGTTCATGTCATGGAGGACAAAAGTGCATCCCATTTTGTCTTTTTTTCCAATAACATTCCCACTAAGTTTCCAAAGAGTAAACCAATTACTAGTTGTGAAAGCAACCACCTCTCACCTTCTCACCAAAGCTAAAACCAAAAGACTTGGTTTTCAGTTTGTTGTAGCAGTTGGGAGAATGTAACAAGATGCGAAGAGAGGAGGAGGAAGTATATATTAAAGTAACAAATCATACCCAATGAGATGTAGACACAACGACTTGGATCCTTAGAAAAAACAATGACATGTATTCCCTCCTCTTTACTCCCAATTCTATTCCTGGATAGTGGTAACGGAACCATCGGTAGGAATTCCCCTCTCTCGCATTGTGTGCACCCACGTCGACTAATTAAAAGGAATTCGTTAAACCCATTCACCTTCCCCGTTCACTTCCTATTTAAAGCACTTCGAGAAGGGGTTTAGTGAATGTGAACACGTCGGACGCCGTTTCGGGGTAATATTCATCCACCTTCATTCGACTCGCGCGGTGAAAGGTGAGGGATGAAAAGCCAGGTCAGTGCCACGTAGGAGAGCGTGGTGGTGGTCGTGACCGTGAGAAGCCGCTATTAGTTGGCGGCTGGCTGGCTGGCTCGTGGGTGCGGTCATGGGGTCACCCCCCAAAGGCGACCCCACTACTGGGGGTGCCTTGCGTCGTGGCAATGACGGCATAGGGAATGGCAGTTTGGGGAGCGTTTTGGGAACAAGGCTCTCCCCCTCGTGGCAGGCTCAGTAAAGATATGCATAAATAAATTAATAAAAATCTTCGTCTGGATGAATTTATTACTTTACAAAGAAAAAGAAATATGTTCCGAACTTTGGGCTGTGTGTATCGTTATACTGAAGTTTGATAAATTGATAGATAGAAAAATAACGTTGTTAATAAATTGACGACTTTTTGTTTCACGTTGTGCAATGAATTCTTAAAAATGTGAGAAAGCTTGAAAGAACTTTTAGTCCATGCAAACAGTAGAATTTTAGATTAGTCTAGCTTCAAATTCCCTGAGTATGGATGCAATAGAAAAGTAGAGGACTAAACCAACTGAAGGAATTCGTCCACAAGGATATCTAATTTCAATTTTTTTGCCATGTCTAATATTACTCGTTACTATTGAAGAGACCCATAAGGCCCATGGCTGTATTGTATTCAATAACATCAATCTTTTTTATGATCATCCTCTTCATTTCTATTTTTAATATACGCGAGTTATAAATAATTATAAATTAAGATTTGATACTTTTTAATAAAATTTCAAATATTCCTTTCGAATATATATATATATATATATATATTCTTCCAACTACTTTTGTACTATTAGAAGTTTGGAGTGCACAGAATTAGTGATTGTAATTCTTTGAATCTTTTTCCAATAACTAATGTTCTTTGAAAATTAATGTATGTATATATGTACAAATATAATCATTAATATGATAAGAATCATTTCATAAAATTTTAAAAACAAGGTTTGTAAATTGATTGAATATGAAAAGGGTAATTATTTAAAACAATAAAAATAAAAACAAAAACGCCCTCCACAAAGATAAAAGATAAATATAAAGAAATAAGTAATTTGGACAAAAGACTCTATATCATTGAACAATGATGCTTTTATCACCCACATGTACAAAATCAAAAACATTTTTTATACATCAAAATAGTTCATTTAACTTTACATATTACCAATAAAAAGTCTAAAAACTTTAAAAGAGAAAGAAAATGATTAGCATTTCATAAAGAGACATTGTAAGGAAGCAATGTATAGAGAAAACGAACTTTTAGAAAAACATATATGATCTTGGACAAAATATATATATATATATATAAATTAGAATTTAAAAGCATCAAAATAATATATTTAATAATGACTGCTTCCACAAACTATATATATATATATATATACATATATATTCTTCCTCTCTTCTAAAAAAACATATATTTTAAAATTATTTCATGCATGTAATGCTTACCTTATTTGAAACATTTTTTGAGCATTTTTCTCTAATCCATTCTAATATGTAGGATACCTGATATTTCACCTTTATACAAGAAGGTCGATGTAGTAGTGCATAAACAAAACTCGGCTATGGATACAAACCTCAAATAGCTAGTAGAGACTATTAGCTTTGTAAGAGCGTTGAATGGGGAAAATCTTTTACAGGTTTGACTAGACGATCGAGCACATAAAATGTCGGTGACCCTCGCAAGTGTCGAGACCACTTCAACGTATCCAGGCTTCCATTTTCATGTCGAAACGGTTCATGACATCCTGAATTCTGGACCCTCAATATGACCTCCCTTCAATATGAAAGTCATGTGGTGCTCCAAAACATCACCGAACACTGTTTGCTCAAGACTAACGTGCATGGCAATTAAAATAAACGATACTATTCAAGGTGTGCAAGCTTTCTAACCTGTTGAAAGTTCCCTTTCCTCCACCAGAGGACCTTCAAAAGCGCAATCACGTCAATCCGTTGAAGCAAACTTTACAGGAACAACTCCAATCTTTTGAATCAGTATGGGTGCAAAATATGCCCCTGTGGATCCCCAGAATCTTACTTCATATACAAAAAACAATGAGCATGCACAGCTCAAGCATAAAACTAACCCGATAGACTAGAAATATACTGCTTACTGGTACATCACCACATCCTGCTGTGACGGAAGTCACAATGGAAAAAAGAAAAATCTCTGGTGGTTAGAGAGAGATTAACCCCATAAGGATTTTAAAATCATGAGACATAGCCCAGGACCTCCGTTACAATAAACCACAAGACAGTTACAATGAACCTCATTTATGGTTTGACAGTTTCAGATCTGAATAACCAAATTCTGCGAGTACAACCTCATCACGGAGCAATCGAACCTCAATGTGCCAAACAAAAGAAGCTTTTGATTACTTGGTGCAAGCCAGACAACGAAAATCAGTGTGGTAATGTAAAGACATATCCGCGGATATCCTTGTTACTATACAGACGACATGGAAGAGAACATCTTTAGACTACCGCCCCATTTCTCTTTTCAACTTTGCAAGCATATCTTCAATGTCGTCAACGTCATCAACCTTTTTCGCTCGGTCATCAGAAGACTCTTCTCGTCGCGGGGACTTGGTACCCGAACTATTTGATTTTGATTTAGAGCTCCGCTCTCTTGTCTCTTGGTTCTGGGTCGAGGAACTGGCTGTGTAATTTGCGCTCGCCTTCTCACCATCACTTACATTCAGTTCCTTTTCAAAAAACTCCACAAATTCTTCACCAATGTCCTGTATTTGACACATTTGAAGCTATGAGAATCTTTCGGCTGGTATCTTAAACCCTGAAGCCTTGCAAGGCGTTACCCATAAAGTATGGTGCTGGCCAGCTCCTACGCATGAGTTTAAAGAGCTAGTGATCTCATACTGACAGAAATACTAAGGTAGAGAAAGACAATAAACACTGATAGCATGTGATGTCTCTGCAGGGTATGAACATTGCCCTCACCGCTAACTCTTCCCATAGACTCTTAGGTTTAGCGCCTCTCGTAGAACTTCGTTTTCTTAAATCATCTTGAATGTCCTTAAAGAATTGGTCTGCACCAGGGATCAACCACAGCGAAAATTAGCAGTACGGTAATAAAAGCGGCGCTGCATTACTCACGTACCGCAAACACGGTCTAGCTCATCCAATTAAACCTTGTAACCATTTCTAAGTTTTAAGCATCCATCAGCTTCACACGTAAGGAGCATACCCGCGTTGCGGGTTCTAATCCTACACCATTTTTCTATGCATTTCAGACTTGGACATCGTAGCATATCAACAACACGCTCAGTCTCTGTTTGTACTATAATTGTTAACATAAAAAGCAGCTGGGGTCTTGTCAACTAGAAGTTTATCAGAAAACAAAGATATTCATTCAGAGATGCGTAAACCTTGCCTCTCCCAGTACTAGCAAGAATTGAAATTCTTTTAGTGTCATATAGGTATCAAAAGGGATCACGTCAAGCACAGTCTCGTTCCCAGGTACTGCTTTGACGACAATACAGAATAAACATCGTATTAATCAGTGGGTATGCTGAAAGAGTACCAAATCCGTAAAACTCCTCCTCTTTCTGCGTGGTCTTTCGCCCCGATCCCCACTGAAATGGATCCCAATCATCCGATCGTGTGCGGCTGCCCCCAGCATCGTACCTGGAACGGCTCTTGCTGTCCACTAAAGTCTGGTACGCATTTTTAATCTCTAAAAATTTCTCTTGGGCTCCTGGCTGATCACAATCAAATAAACAATTGTCAATCTCGGCGGATTTTGATGTGAGGAATTTTCTGAAGAATCGGAGTCAAAACAGTTCCTCACTTTTGCAAACCTCATATCCAACGTGTTTCATCAGGTGGCGAAGCCATTATATGAATCTTCGTTAGGAAGAAGAGAAAACAATTCCAAGTGGGCTGAAGAAGTTGACCGCACAATACACACTATTCAGATTTGGAATACACAAGCATGCCTCCTGGAGAATTCTATTTGAAACATTCTCCCAGATGTACTGACTTAAGATTGCGAATAGAGAGGTGCATGTATCGCCCCAAAGACTTGAACCCTAAAATATAGTAATCAAAGCATCTGAGATCTAGAACATCCTCCCAATCCCACCTTCGCACACGTTTCCATATCCCTTGCCAAAGAAGAAGCTAGTAATTGGCATACTATGAATTGTTTTCTGTAGCCAATCTGTTCAAATCAAATCCAAAATGTCCATACCTGCTTATTAACGTCGGGGTGATATTTGAGAGCCAAACCCCTGTAGGCTCGCTTAATCTCCTTCTCTGTGGCCGTAGGTGACACGCCCAAGGTCTCATACAAAGACTTCTGCGCGGCATGACAGACACCAAACCTTCTGTTGCGGCGATTCTCCCATTTGAGCTTCCCGCCCCAACTAGCACCCGGCAAGGGCGTCCCTACCCTGCCTCGGAGACTCTGCGCGCTCTCTGGTATCCCCCGCCATCTTCTGTCGACAGGACAGTGGTGACTCAGTTCTGCGCAAAAGACTGCCCACTGAAGCTCCCTTAACAAGACAGCCATCAGTGCTGCAAAAACACCTCTTCAAATCGAATACTCTGCGGGGGTGCACCCTGACACAAACACACTCACGGTACTGGACATTCCCCAGCAATTTTATTTCCGAATGGCCGAATCATAACCCACCGGGAGAACGCAAACATTCGACGAACCCCAAAAGTGGAAAAAACAGTCCAGATGCTTTCAAGTTTGAATGCGCACGGCCACCTGTAGTGACCAGTGGGAACGTCCCAGGTCACACTCGAGAATGCAGAATTGGGTTCGATTCTAAATGAGAAGTGAAGATGAGATCAATGTCTTAATTGTGAGGGAGAAGCAAAAAAGGCTAGTCTAGCAGACGTGAACCAACGCATTTGCTTTGTGGATTTGCTGCACTTTTTGCAACTCTCCACTCCTCAAGCTTCCTCGTGTTGAACTCTTATTGGATTCAGCCCTTCCCTACCAACTGACGCTCCAATCAAACACTGGGCTAACCCCGAGTTATCACTGACCAATGTCCGAAGCACACTTCTGTGGACATGATGGTTGCTTACTGGAAGCAAACAAAATAAAAAATAAAAAATAAAAACAGGAAGTGATGAAGCAAAAGGACATGAGAGACGGCGAGCATCGTAACCACACAGATCATGCGAAATCGCCGTGGGGTAGCGAGGGCGGAGTTGCATGAAGAATAAAACCTCCAAAACTAGTCTCTCAACACCGATTTTGCAACTTCTATATGCAAAAGTTAAAAATAAATAAATAATAAAAAAAAAACACACACACACACACACACACACACACCGTGCCCACACTCCACTGATTCCACAACAATTAGCTTATCTGGACAGAAAAAAACAACATCACAAACTAGATAACAGTCCATAGACGCGGTAGGAAAAATATGAGTAACGATTCACGTGACGAATTTTCCCTGTATAACTCATGGTTTTAGGTTTTGCATCCTTGCATGAGAGGAAATTATTCAAGCAGTATTCTTTGGTTTGGTCGACACCCATTTTATCAATGAAAGACAAAGCGGTAAAGCCCTGCATGTGAAGTAGTATTCTCAAGTAAAGGTAAGCATGGAAGAAATCCAACACCGCCACTCACACAATCCACTTGTATTAGTATTTGTGTATTTGTGGAGACTTGGGTTGTTTTGTAAAAACCAATCTTTGTTAGCTACTTTGCTGTCCATGGAGTTGTATGGTGGTACGAGAGACACTCTACAGTGGTGTGAATCCTTTAAATAGTTATGGATAGGGAAACGTTAATCGACCTAGATTTTTACTAAAGCGACCCACATCTAGACTATCACTGCATCTCCTTGTCCCACATCCCCATTCCCTCCGTTTTCATCCCCAGCCTCCATCCTCCGTTCCAACCCCCCGGACTTACAGAGCATTGTGTAAGGAAAATTTTATAAGAGTGCTTGAGATTTCCAATGAAGAGTTGCTGCAGATCGTGACTCACGGATGTGAGAGCATCTATCGTTCTTGTAGATTGTCGCTCCGAAGCTAAGCAATCTGTAAGTTGTGTGCAATTAATGCCAGACCTTTTTTTGCTCATGGTGGTGAGAGAGGCAACCTGGATCATACCCAGCTTGAAGTCGCTAAGCTTAGGTTCGAGGTGGATGGTGATAGTACACCTGAGATGGTGCAGGAGACTGTACTTATGTTTCTGAAAAATCTCCATTTATTACTCTAGGCTTCAGCTGCACATACCTCTCAAAATTGTTACAGCCATTCATTGATATTCGAGCTGATATAGTGTCTCAGGTTGAAATTCAGCCTGTGTAATCATATGTTTGAGTCGTCATTGTAATCCGTGCACGTCTTTCAAGGTTGTATTTTGTGTAAAGTTGTAAATGAAATAGCAGAAATGTAGATATGCGATCAACTTTAATAAATTTTAGAACTAGACATTTGACATTGTTATCATTCGGTACGCAAGTGTAGACTTAAAAACAACAAAGTTGTAGAAGATGTTTCCGCTGAAGTGGATGATTCACTGATTGGGAGACGATGCAGCAACAGAGGCACTAACAAGGGTTCTTTTTGACAACTTATAGAAAGATAGGTATATATTTGCAATTTTGAATAATGGAATAAACCAGAAAACTGTAGTATTTGTAGACAACCTTACTTAATCAAGTAAGCTAATGTATCTGGTACATTTTCCTTCAATGGTTTTAGAAAGAGAAGGTAGTCCTTACACCTCAAGCCGCATGAGGGTTTAGATGTGTTATGTCCACAGTGGATTTTTTTTCAGTAATCTGGTTTGTTTTCTAACGTTATTTCTACTTTACTTTGTAGAAAGCTCATGTACAACAATTTATGGCCACCGAAGATGCCTTGAATCAGGTGGCGCAAGTCAAAAGAATGGCCAATGAACTCGTTAGGCGGGCATGTGGTACTGATGCCTCACCCTCTTTGACCAGCTCAAATGTACAAAATTCTAGTGTGCCTTGATTTCTATATTTTTTAAATTTTATTGATGAACTTACAACCTGGATAATATTCATGGGGAAGTTACAGATGAAACTTGGAACCCTTACACTACAAGCTACTGATACGCACAAAAATTATTGCCTATTACACTTTAACTTTAAAGTCTATAATTTTAAAATGAATACTGGCAACTGAATACATAGATTGTAAAGCTTCAGCTTGCAAAACATCCTGTTGTAGCAATGTGGAGATCTGGTTGTCTCGTGGGAAACTAAGACAAGAACTAGAGAAAGGGAAAGAACCCACCATATCTTTTTATCAGTAAGGAATAAGCTCCACTACTTTTATTTCTTGAGATTCTGGTCCGCTTCAATCATAGTCACTGCTCCTGGAAAGATGGAAACCTGCACACAATCCCATGTTCTGCTAGATCAGCTTGGAGGCTCTCATCGCATACTCGCAGCCAGGGTGCGGAGTTTCCAATGCATTATGAGAAGCTGATGCAGCACTACAATGAGCAAGATTTCATGAGTTCATTTCAAATCAATCAATTGGATTGGTCAAATCGGTTGTTAAGCCACAATCACATCTCCTAGAATAAGAACATACTAAACTCAGATAATGGGAGTTGCAGACAACTTACAGATTGCTCAACTTTTGAGCGACAGTCTATGAGAACAATGGATGCTCTCACATTTGCGCAAGGTGAGTCAGGATCAACAGCAACTCTTTACTAGAATTCTCAGGCACTCTTTTAAAATTTTCCTCGCACATCACTCTGTAAGTTCGGGGGGTTGAAACAGAGACTGGGGGTTGGAATGGGGCACTGGAACTGGAGATGGGAACGTGGGGAATGGAGGGAACGGGACGCAGGACGGGGAGATGCAATGATAGTCTAGACAGATAGGTGGGTTGATTTAATAAAAATTTGGGTCGATTTAACATTTCCCAATAAATAATTAACTATATATATATATTTTTTTATTTATGTATTTCATAGTTATGAAAAATTCAAAATGAAACATAAAAAAATATTTTGTGTTTAAATGTAAATGAAATATAAATAAATGTAAATGACATTTAATTTTCTTAATCAGGAAATACAATATATCTGTTGCAAAATGTCAAAGTCACGTATGAAATTATTTTCAAAGGCACATTATGTAGAATAGATTAAAAAATTAACATTAACATAAATAAATTACAGGGAAATCATCAAGAAAGATTTTTTTTCAACAAATGGCAATATTTTATACAACGAGATCAACAACAACTCAAAACTACAAGTTGGCTGGAGATAATTGGAGATAGTGTCCGTGCTTCAATCGATGCTCGGTTTAAGAATGTGCAATGCCACGTTCATAGGCCATCTAAAACGAACGAACGAAAAATATGACGTCCGTTTCGATGAACGAACGAACGAAGATGTCCGTTGCGAGGAACAAAGCTCGTTCTAGAACGTTTGCTTGCAAACCGTCGAATGCTACTTAACCTTCTCCTCGCCAGAGCATCGCAATCTCTTCAGCCTCCATGTCCGCTGTTCGCCTTCTCTCAGTCTGGCGATGCCTCGTTGAATCTCAGAGCTCAAACCTTCTGTCGGTCTCCTCGTGTATTAGTGGTTACGTTTTCTCCCCGAAGTGCAGTTTACGGAAACCCTCTCGTATCGACGGAGTTAGTGTTGGTTTTTGTTCGGATTCTAGGGTTAGTGTGTCAGTGGTTGCCGATGATGGTTACCTCTACGGGCGCAGTTGCGGGGTGGTGCTGAGACCTTGTTTGACAAGGAGAACCTCCTCAGTCTGCCACCTGCATTTCCATGACGCTAAACTGTAAACTGAGGCTTAGTGTCGGTTCAAGATGTGGGTCGTTATTTGTGCGGGATCCAGTGCTGAGCATTGGAATAAGGGGTGTGATGATGAGAAATGCCAAAACAGTTATCCCTGACCGAATAACCATGTGGATGCAAGCGAAAGTTATCTGATCCTTATTTACTGGTCATTCGAGTGAATTAGCTACTGGTTTCGGCAACTGTGCATGTAAGAATAACTGTTCATTTGTTAGATTGTGGTGAGGCACGGGTCTTGGGAATGCTTGGGCTGCGAGGCGTTACCATTTTGTCTTTCTAATGAAGTGGGTGTCGGCCAAAGCATAGAGTATATGAGTGCTTTCTGTGATGAAAGCATGCCAGTTTTAAACCAATGCAAGCTTTTTCAATGAGCGTGTGTTGACCTGTCTACTGGGACAGTATACCTTCTGATTTAGTTCCAGGATATCACTCTTGTTGAAGAGGGAACTTGTTTGTGGCACAGCTGACGTGGAATGCTTGGGTTGCGAGGCGTTACCATTATGTCATTTTAGTGAACTGGATATCGGTCGAAGTGAAGAGAATACGAGTTCGTTCTTTAATTGAAGGATGCTAGTTTGAAACCAATGTACGCTCCTCGCTTGATCGTGTGTACACAATACAAAATTATGGGAGGAGCATTGAGTTAACCAAGATCATATTGTTTCAACGAATTCGCGTTTTGAATATACAATTCGTGTTATATATTAATGTAATATTGGAGCTTGGAGCGCTTGGGCTGCGAGGCGTTGCCACTTTGTATCACTAATGAAGTGGGTGTCGGCCGAAGCGAAGAGGACATGAATCCTTTCTTCGTCGAAAGGATGCCAGTTTTATACCAATGCAAGCTTCTTCCATGAGGATGTGTTGACTTGTCAACTGGGACAGTCTACTCCATTAAGTCAGGTACAGCATGTTTATCGTGTGGGGAGGTTCACATCCTGTGGCGGAGCTAATGTGAAGATAGTGTTATCAAAACTATATATTCACTGAGACCGCGCCAATGTGCGTCCGGGCAGTCTGAACCATCCAGGTCGTTATTTTTATTTCCTCATGACTCATTGCTCCCAGACACTAATAACCGTTAGCCACAGCAGCTTTTCTCAACCTCAGACAATAGTTTCTTATTAATACTGCAATATCTTGGACCTACAGCGGGTAGTAGCAATCCTTGCATCCTCTTGTTTCAAACCATAAATTCTCGTGAAATATTTTGGCGTAGTACTGCCGTTCGGAATGCTTAGGCCGTGAGGCGTTACCACTTCAGCTGTCTAATGTAGCGGGTGTCGGCCGAAGCAAAGAGCATA